ATATATATATATTATAAATGTAACTTTCTAATGTATGAATGTTCCACATGAAATTATTGCTTGATTGATACACATCTTTTGTCAGAGCAGGTAGCATTGTCAGTGGAAGCTGAAAAGTTCCTGGAAGAGACGATGCAAGAGAATTTAAGAGGGGATGTAATATATTTTTGGGGACGCTTGGACTTGGATCAAAGTGTCATATTAAACAACAATGCAATTTCTTTTTGGTACATGTGTGACATCTTAAATGGAGGCAACTGCAGGTATATAATAGGGAATATATCATTTATACATTCATTTTGTTCATTGCTGTCATTCAGCTACTCAAGAATTTCAATCATCCCACGTCCATCCCTGATCTTTCCTAAAGTTGCATCTATGATGCACAGATACAATACGTTGTATCTGATAAGACAATACAATTATTCTAAAAATATATAGGATAAGGTATGTCCAAGATATATATATATATATATATATATATATATTTAGATATGTATAAAAGTTCATAAATATGATGAATATATAATTGTAATTCTACAAATCCAAATCAATAACATACTTCTGGGACATTATTAAAGACAATAAAAATTATAAAGCATTATAATTAATCACTTCCTATTGTATATTCTACAAATAAGAATTGTTATAATAATGTAATCTCATTTTTTTCTCGAAATCATCCACAAAGCAGACAGTTTTCACTTTTGGTTCATCAAGGGACAAATGTTTCTATGTTTCATGTGTAGCTGTATTGGAATTTTCGTAATTTTTTTAAATGCTTGGATACTTCACGGATATGTATTGAAGTATCTAAGAGTATTTGTATCGAATACGGATGTGTACCAAATGAGAGTATCAGTGCTTGATTTGTATCCTGTGTTATTTGCACTTCCTACAGAATAAAATGTTTAGAATCACTTAGCTTAATTTGGCATGACTTGCTCTAAAGGAAATATGTTTGGAGGTTCAAAACAGAGTTTGTAGAGGTTGGACTTTGGATATTGTAATGTGTTTCAAACACGTCTGATATTATGCTTCCAATTTCATCAGAACTGTTTTTCAAGATGGCTTTCGCCAGATGTATGCATTGCCCCCCCATGCAGAAGCACTTCCCCCCATGCCTGAAGATGGTGGTTATTGGTCAGCACTGCACAGCTGGGTGATGCCAACCCCTTCTTTCTTGGAGTTCATAATGTTCTCTCGGTAATTAATGAATCATGTTGCTTCTTTCACAAAAGTTGGTTAATTAAATGTACTTTCTTGATCTGAATGAAACAAGAAAATCTGAAATGTTGTCAATTGAATGCAGGATGTTTGTTGATTCCGTTGATGCTCTGCATAGAGACTCCAGTAAATATAACTTGTGCTTGTTAGGCTCTTCAGAGATTGAGGTAATTTGTTTGCATTTGCTTTCAAGGTTTCTTAAATTATTTGTGTCTTACTTTTGTCCTGTCTACGTACGCAGAAGAAGCACTGCTACTGTCGAGTGTTGGAAATTCTCATCAATGTATGGGCTTATCATAGTGCACGAAAGATGGTGTATATAAATCCCAACACCGGTTCGATGAAAGAGCAGCACCCAGTTGAACAACGGAAGGGTTTTATGTGGGCAAAATACTTCAATTTTTCATTGTTGAAAAGTATGGATGAAGATCTAGCTGAGGCTGCAGATGATGGTGACCATCCAAGGGAAATGTGGTTGTGGCCAATGACAGGGGAGGTACACTGGCAAGGGATTTATGAAAGGGAGAGGGAAGAAAGGTACAGGCTAAAAATGGATAAAAAAAGAAAAACAAAAGAAAAATTATTTGAAAGAATGAAGTATGGTTACAAGCAGAAATCACTTGGACGATAAGAAATGTTGAGACTTGAAAATTACACTACATAGCCAAACTGTTTGTCAACCCATTTTTTGCTTAAATCGGGAAAATTGTCTCACAAATTGGAGAGACTTCGATTCTAACTTTGGCACAGATCATAGAGACACTATTGTTTCTTTCTTCGTTAACTGAATACGTATACTCAACCCTCAGTCTCAGAAAAGAGCGAGACAGAGAGCAAAGGAGTTTCCCATCTTCTGCTGTTCATTAGTTTCACGGCCTTTTTTCACGGTCAAGTATAGCAGCACAGAAGATGCAGGTAGTTCCAGTTCGAGGTGTACTCATAGTCTATAGAAATGCATTCACCAATTACATTTGATTTTAGCTTAACTTTGTATTCTTTCATTATTGTATATTTGGTAAAACATTAGTGGCAATTTTGAGTAGAATAATGCTGGTTTTCACTTGAATAGTTTCTTTACCATTATCATTATTTATTATTATTATTATGATTATTATTATTATTATTATTATTATGATTATGATTATTATTATTATTATTATTTATAAAAAAATAGAGCTCAACGCATTCAAGAGAAATAAATACCTTGCATAGGTACATGCGTTATAGGCAATAAGCATGAATTATGTCATTATACTTGAGTTCTTATAAAATGCTCGGGTGATGATTTTTGATGCCTAAATGAATAGAACATTCTACGTCTTTAATTTGTATTTATTTTTCTTTTTCTATGTCACTCATATCAATTATTTATCTCTTTTCTTTTTCTATTTTTTTTTTCTTTCATGTTGTAGGTAGGGGTGTTCAAATTGTTAAACTAAACTAAACTAAAAAAAAACTAAACTAAACTATAATAAATAGTTCACTAAACTAAATTGAACTAAAATAAATATTGACTAAACTAAACTAAACAATTATCTAAATTAGTGCACTATAGTTCTAGGAGTTTGAACTAAACTATAATATCAATTAAATTAAACTATTATTAATTATAAATTAAACTATTATTAATTATAAATTAAATTATTGTTAATTATAAACTAAATTGAACTATATTAAAAAATATTGATTCTAATGTTTATGAACGCAATATAATAATAAATGAGAAATAAAATTTTTAAATATAATGTTGCATGTGATTATATTATGTTTAAATAATTTTTTTGTCGTATATTTTAATTTAAAGAAAATGTTATTAATTTTTTTATTCCTTTATTATAAATGTCATGATGATGACAAATGATTAGAATGTTAGATAATATTCAAACAGAAATTTACGATCTAATTTGTTTAAAATTTGATATAATATAATCTATTTAATTAAAATGTCAGATTTAAATTTTTAAAAAATTTATTTATTTAAAAAGATTAAACTTAAACTTATAAAAAAAATTATAAAATCTGATAAACTAACTTATTTATCTATACGATATAATAAAAAAATAATGTATATATATATATATTAAATAATTAGGGCCAATCTTATGGTGAAAGAATTAATTTAAATATTCATATGTCCATTGTAATTTCAATGAATAAATAATAATAATAATAATAATAATGTATGTATTACAAAATTCATAGCAACATTAATTTTTAATTAATAATATAAAATCTTTTACTCCAACACTTTATATTAATTGAAAATTGTTAATTTATTGACAAATGTAACTTTTTTTATATGATGTATAAAAATTAAGCTCAAATCAATATGTTTTGTTCGTACTTTTATTTCACAAAATAAATTTTTTACAATTGTGATGGAATGATTTGAATGATGAAATTTTTTTAATAACATGTATAATATATATTCAATAAATATATCAGAAAATAATAAATTGAGAAAAAAAAACTGTTAAATGTAATTTTGATACGTATGATATAAACAACTTTTTTTAGTTGTCAAATCTTTTTAGAATAATTTTGTTTTTATTTATTTATTTATCATTTTAAATTTAAAAGTAATATTAATTATTATTATGTAGTTATATTTTTGTTTTTAATTAATTTATAAATTTACAATGTATTTGTGCTTATTGTGGAATAAAAATGAAAAAGAATTTTGTAAAAACCTTTAAAATTATTTTATATAGAAAACAGAAAAGTTATTATATTTTTTGGTTTATATATAACTGTACCGTCCCATTCGGATCCCGATCTGATACCCTTTATAGGTATTGATCATATGACTCTTGAATATGGGTAGTCTCGGTCAGCAGGCGATCTAACTTTCCACGTATGTAAGATCAGTCGGACCTCGATCTCACCCACTCCCCGGTGAGCTCGGCCAGGGTGTGCTCGGCCAGGGTGTACTCGGCCATGGTGACCTCGGCCAGGATGAGCTCGGCCAAGGTGAGCCCACCAGGATGAGCTCGACCATGTTGACATCGGCCATGGTGCAGTCGGCAAAAGTCCGAGTGGGTCTCACGTCAGGTGCTCCGAGGATTAAGGATGACAATTCTATCTCACTTCAGGTTCCGGGAAACCACGATTCTACATGATGACATGATTATCAGCTTATTTCTCGATATGATTCTCGGCCTATTTTCGATGTGGTTCGAAGGGGCAGTTGCTTTATCCCTTTCGCCTTATAGGCTCAGGGCTGGAAGGCAAGTGTACCGTCTCGGTCAGATCCCGATCTAATACCCTTTACAGGTTTTGATCCGATGATTCTTGAATATGGGTCTTCTCGGTCGGACTGCGATCTCACCCACCTTATGGACGAGCTCGACCAGGGTGTACTTGGCCATGGTGATCGGCGAGGGTGTGCTCGGCCATAAAGAGGTCGACCAGGTGTACTCGGCATGGTGAGATCAGTCAGGATGTGCTCGGCCATGGTGAGATCGGCCAGGGTGTGCTCGGCCATGGAGAGATCGGTCAGGGTGTGCTCGGCCATGGTGATCGGCCAGGGTGTACTCGGCCATGGAGAGATCGGCCAGGGTGTACTCGGCCATGGTAATGATCGGCCAAAGTCCGAGTGGGTCTCACCCCTTGGACTGGTCCGAGAATCAAGGATGAAAAGCCTATCTTTGATAATCAAATATTCCCAAGGAAAACCGTTATGGAAATCCTCGCGCTCACAAGGCCCAGGAGGCCCATGAACAGAAAAGCATAAAACCTAAAATCCTAGAGCTAAGACGGCAGATTACACTCTTGAATGCTCTGACTTTAAGGTCTGACCTAGGAAAAAACCCTAGTGCACCTCGTGGCCGGAACAATAACATTTTAAATGAAACTTTTAAAGGAATGAAAGTAGTATCTTGCTAGCCTAGTAAATGTGTAGTCTCCGCGAGTCCGAAACGAACGTGGTAGTCAGACGAACGTGGTAGTCAGACGAACGTGGTAGTCAGTCTCCGACTCTCCGTGAATGTGTTTCAGACTTTTGCTTGTATTTGATTTTAGTGAACTGAACTATTAATTTTAATAGTTTAGCTTTATAAACTACATTAAAAATAATAGTTTGGTTTAAACTATTAAAAAATAATTTAGTTTATTTTAGTTTAGTTTAGTTATTTAAAAAGTTTAGTTTTAAATAGTTTTGTGGACACCCCTAATTGTAGGTACCTTTTGTGTGTTTAAAAATCATTTTCAAATGTTTACTTGTTCATCTTGACGTCCATGAGTTATGAGTTATATCCTAAAGAGAAATATCTTTTGAGGGAAAGGATTTTTTGGTAAAAAAATTAGTTCAAATACAAGGCCTACTCTAAACTCAGAATCTGCTTAACAGAAAGGAAAGAAACAAGTAAAAAATAAAGTAGGGAGAAATGAAGAGAAGAATAGATGAGTGAAAAGTAAATAAGAAACAAAGTAGAAGTTAATTGTTTGGTTTAGGGTTTTTATCGTTATTTTGAATGTAGGGATATTTTTATCGTTATTAAAAAAGACAAAACATAATTAACAATAAAAGTTCAAACATATAAATATATTTTTTAAATTTTTATCAACGATAAATTTATTTAATAGAACAGATTTTTTTTAACAATATATACATTTTATTTGGGTCTTATCAAATTTGTTACCGTTTAAATTTAAAAGTGATCAATTTGATAACTTTGTTTTGAAAAAACAACTCAATTTAAAAAAGGTATGCTAATTCTTGAAAGTTATAATTAATATTTTAATTAACCTATGCTAATCAATATTTTTTTTTTATCAAAGTAACTTTTTTAATTAGGAAGAAAGGTAACGATAACATTATTGTAATTGAAAAACACAAAAACATAATTGACCAAAAATAAATTACATACAGGTGTAATTCAAAAAATAAAATCTAAAAATTAGTTTTAAAGAAGGATACACGTATTTTCATATTATAATCGAGAAGTTAATATCAATATATGATATTTAGAAACACAAAACTTTATAAATTAAAAAAAAAAAGTAAAGTGTGCATCACATGTGTAATTAAAAAAACCGATATTTAATAGAAAAAAATGGATAATTTAAAAAACTTACCCCTTCAAAAAAAAAAAAAGAACTTACTTTCCTAAAATGGAATTAAGATTAAAAAACCAAAAAAAAAACAATATAAACAATACTTCATACTCAGTAAAATAATTACACCTTCGATTGCTTCAAAAGCTCCAAAAATCAAAGTAAATACCACTGTCCATTATTCACTTAAGTTAATGGAATAACTTTGTCATAATAAAATGTTTTAGCAATTAAGATCAATATCTTAGAATTAAAAGTGTATAAATTTCTATTTTGAAAAAAAAAATACTACTAAGTGCATAAATCACCCAAATTTAGTTCTCACAGTCTATAATTTCACAAACCATAAATATGTAATCCCACAAAAAAAAAATATATATATATATATATATTAAGTTATGAAAGAAAAAACAAAAATGTTGTTCTCAAACGAAATGAAAGGAAAGTCGAAAATAACAAAAAATAGTCTCCCGCGCCCACTGTTGTTGGACCCAATCGCTATCGTAATGGTTTTGGTTCTATACGGTTCGCCTCTTCAATGTTGCGATTCCGAGTGAGGGTTTTACCATTTCAACACAACACTCCAACAACAATACCCTTTTCGTCCCAAGTATCATCTCTTTCTCAATTTCTTTTCATTTCCATATTTCTTCTTCTTCTTTATTTTAGTTCTTACTAATCTTTTCTCAACTCACTGCACTCTCCCAACTTATTGGGTTGCTAACCTAATCGCTATCAATTTCTGGGTGAATATAGCCATATAGGTATGGGCCTGAGAACTACTGTGGGCCCAAATATTCTCTGCTGTTTTCTGCTTACACATTATCTCTCCTTTTCCCCCCTATATTATCTCGTGCAGCACTGCAATTGAATTTTGCTACGCGCAGGTTGAGATTGTAGAACATGATGCACTCTGTGAAGAGTGGATGGGGCAAAACCTTTGCCCTTGCTAAGCACAACGAATCTCAAGGGAAAAAGACTCGGATTCGCCGCTCCAAGGAGGAAAGAAAGGCTATGGTTGAGTCCTTCATTAAGAAGTAATGCCCTATTACTCTCTCTTCATCCAGCCTTTAGTTGTCCTATTATTAGAGTTTCAATTGGAAATTCCTTCGCGTATCCTTAGTATACGACGTGTTTGAAGCTTCTTGTAAATATATTTTGTTTTAAGGAATGGAAATTTTCGTTGTACATGTACAACCTTTGAACCTGACTCATTCCTTGAGGTGCTTATGTAATTATTTGTCTAACGATAGTGCAAATGTGATCCAATAAGCAATAACGATGCTTATTATATTGATATTTGATGTTTGATTAATACCTATATCACTTCTTTGCGACATCTATTCTTGCCACTAGTTTAACGTGGGAGTGCAAAATTGATGTTTGTTTCACGTTTGATGCTTGGATTTTTTTTTATTTTTTGCCACTATTTTACTTTTAATAAATGCCTTTTGGTATACTTTTATTCACAGATGAGACTTTTTTTGTATTTGTGTTCTTTGTTATTTGATATCAATCTACTTATAATTTTCTCTTCCACTGTGCTTTTTATATTATATGCTTAAAAGGTTTAACAGTTGAACTATTTAGTATGCCCCTGTTATTCTATTCAGTTGTTGTAATTCAAGTCAAACTTTAGAGGCCTGTTTTGTTAATGATTTGTTGAATGCATCACTTGTATTTACTTGTCTCCAGGTACCAAGAGTCGAACAATGGAAACTTTCCATCACTTAATATTACACATAAAGAAGTTGGTGGCTCTTTCTACACAGTACGGGAGATTGTACGTGATATAATTCAAGAAAATAGAGTGTTGGGTCCTGCTAAGTTCACTTTAGAAGAGCTAAACGCTGACCACTTTTTTGAACAAAATCCACTGGGTTCAATTGCAAGAGATCCTCAACCTTTATCGGCTGCGTCATCAATTGAAAATTGTTCTGAGAATGACAAACTTTCTGATACAAATAGCAAAGTGATTTCTGTTTCTGATGGGTCTTATACTGAAGCTGCGCACCAGGTGGTTGACAATGGGCATATCATAAGTGTTGGCCACGTAGATGTGACAAACAAGAAACCCATAGAAGTGGCTGTTGTTGCTGATGAGCATCCAATGGTTGACAAAGGGCATACCATGAATGTTAGCCAGGTAGATGTGATGAACAATGAATCTGTGAAAACTGCTGCTGTTTCTGATGGGTGTTTCACTGAAACTGAGCACAAAATTGTTGACAAAGGGCATGTCTTAAATGGTAGCCAGGTGAATATGATAAACAAGGAATCTGATGAAGCTGCTATCCCTGAGGTGCAGGTAGGTGATCCTACGACACTCAAACAAAATGTTGAACAAGAGTTGAAAGCTGCCACAACACCAATGGCTAAAGTAACCGCTGTGGCAGATGATTTGATAGTAGAGACATTTCCATTAAGGTCTGTTTCCAGGACTACTGATGGAATAAAAAATCTGGGAGGGTTGAGGGACTCAAGTAATTCACCCGAGAATGACATAAAAACGGTTGAATTGAAACAAGGCGTGGGTAAATCTGAGTTAAATGGTATAGAGCCATCAAAGAATTTGAACTTATTGGACGAGAAATTTGAGGATTCCCATGGAAATCAAATATTAAAGAACATCCCTGACACTGGGCTTGATAAGGATGAGAATGTAGGAGATATGTTTGAAGAAAGCTCCAATCATTCTACCATTGAACATTTTGATCATCATGGATTTGAAGATCACATTAATCCTCAAGCTAGAGTATCTCATCAAAATACCATAACCTACGGAACCGTTAAGCAAGGCCACATGATGGATGGAGCTAAGGTTAAATTTTATTGTCTACTTGTATTTTTTAAGGATTTCTTAAATTGTCACAGTTGATACTCTTCAGTCTTGGATGCTAGTTGGAATGTGCCAATTTTGTGTTTTCTTTTTCTTCTTCCTCTGCTACTGAAATAATTTGTTTGCTCTGGAGTGTCTAAGACTGAAGGATCCCTTAAGTAATAAACAATAGTTAGTAACTACTTTTTTGATAGTTATTTGAGGAGAAATTTCTTTGTAACAATTTAAATGTATTATCACAGACAAGCACTCAAATCAATAACATCAGCAAGACTTATAAACCTTCAGAGGAAGATGGTGGCCTGCTAAAAACTGATATCCATAGAGTTGATGGTCAACATGGTGGCAACTCTCAGAGAAGCAGCAACACAACTGTGGATAGGATCAATCTGTAAGTACATCTAAAATGATTTGATATCAAATAAGGTGCAGATTTAAAACTTTAATTTATAGAAGAGAAATTGATTTGGTTATGTTGCTATATCTGATTGGCCCTTTATATGGTTTTCACTGTAGAGAATCTTGGGATGGAGCAACTAAGAATTCCGCAAGACGAGAATCCAACCCATTTTTAGCTGTTTTGAAAGTTTTAGCTGATGCTTTTGTGAAATTTTGGTCCGGATGAAGATTTTAATGTTGTTTCTTTCTTTGTTGTGGTATGTATGGTGATGGTGGAGTTGATGTTTTGTACCATCCTTTTATGTAGGCTTGATCAATTAACAAGCTCGTCATTTTTGTTCTCCTTTTTTTTTCTTTTTAAATTACAACGATCTTGTTGTTTTCAATTTCATAGATGAGCCGATTGTGGTATAATCATGTAAGTTCAGTTGTGTTTAGTATAATTAGTAGACGAGATGCAGCTCTAGTATTTCAAGTGTGCAATTATTTTATATTGAAAATTAGAATATATAATTTAGAGTGATAACCATATTCTTTTAATCAAACATTCTTAATGTCCTCTTATTTAATTCTCGAGATACATTTTGTACACTATTTTTATAATTAGTTAAAAAATTATCTTTATTATTTCAATCTACAATCTTTTTTTTTTTTTTTTTCCTTTTCTTCAAATGAAATTTTACTTGTTCTTTTAAATTATTAATAATTATAAATAATATTGTGTAATACTTTATATATTAAATCTTTCAAACATGAAATTATAAACAACTAAATTATGGTTCTAGTAGCACTGTCTACTACTGCCTTGATCAACTGTAGTAAAAATGCATTACTAAGAACACGAGCCATATATTTGAAACATCTCTTGTTTCTTCTCTTCTTAAAAGTTGAAAGTTCTAATGAGAATGATAGTTTACTAGCACGAATGTCAGTAATGGTTGAGGATGGTTAAAAGTAGTATTTGTTATCTGTGATAGCTATGGCAAAGTTTTGGACAAATATTCGTGAACAGTGTCACTAAGAATGTTGTCAGTCTATTTTGGATCAATACGTGGAATGTGGGGATGAACCCCTGTCGTGAACAGGCCATTCAATTTCATTTCGTGTTTAATCGGAAATCCAAAATTCAATGTCAGACAACTTGTTTCCCGATGAAATCCTGGTAGAAATCCTCAAAAGACTTCCAACAAAGAGCCTTGTGAGATTCACCAGCGTGTGCAAATCATGGCGGTCTCTCATCACCGACCCTTCCTTCATCTCCATCCACCACCGCCACTCCCCCTCCTCTCTCCTACTCCACTCCGGCAACCACCTCACCCTCCCCCACCGCCGCCACTCCTCCGCCCTCCTCCTCCCCTCCTTCCCCCATCGCGACTCTCCCGTCGTTGCCTTCTCTAACGCCCTCATTTGCATCGCCTACGGTGAGCAATGCCAACCCCTCATCATTTGCAACCCTAGTGTTCGACGATATGTCACCCTACCCGCACCTTCCCACTACCCTTGTCACCACTTTTCTTATATCGCCTTCGATTCCAGCAAATGCGATTACAAGGTGGTTAGAATTTCGTGCATGGTGGATGACCAAAGCTTCGGCCTTTCTGCTCCCCAGGTCGAGCTTTACTCTCTCGCAACTGGGTTCTGGAGGACCCTTCACAGCATTGCTCCTGTCTGTTACATTGCCGGAGATGCCCCCCACGGTTTTCACGATGGGCTTGTTCATTGGATTGCCAAACGCTGCGTTAGTCATGGTTGGTACTTTTTTGTTTTGTCCTTTTGTTTTGAAGATGAGCTCTTTCGTGAGATTGAGCTCCCTGAGAGCTTGGCTAGTGTGTCCTGGGATAACCCAGTTACCGTTAAGGTTGTTGGAGGTGGCAATGGGAAGACTCTTTCTGTGTACCATGTGAGTGCTGGTTCCCCATGCTCTTGCGACATTTGGGTCATGAAAGAGTATGGTGTGGTGGAGTCTTGGAATAAGGTCTTTGGTTTTGTTATGAGTGGATTTTGCTTGGAGGCACCAGCTTTGGGGATGATGCTCACTGACGTGGCAGTTCCGCCATTAGCATTGTATGTTACGAACGGTGGAGAGGTGTTGCTGCTCATGTATGTGGCAGGAAAGAGGTGTTTGTTTTCGCTGGATATGGAGAGGAAAAGCTTTAAGGACCTTCAAATTGAAGTAGGCACAGATTATGTTTATTGTGGCCATTATTCTGAGAGCTTAGTTTTACTGAACAAAGCAAGTGGTTTGGTGTCTTATTGAAGAGGTAAAGTCATCCCAAACCGATACTTGTTCGATATATTTTTTCTTTTTTATCATTAGGAATTACAATAATAAAGACAAGTTCGAACTTAAGATTTTATACATGTTATTCTAACTCCTATACTATTAGACTGACTCCAATGATTCACTAGGACAATATACTTTATTATGCGTATATATATTGTAGTCATTGTAATCTTTTTCTACTGATATAAAAAATAGCTAGCTGCTCTCTCGTTATACCATTCTTAGTACATACACGGAGTGTAAACCAAGTCCTTATCTCCATTTTTTATTTGTGAATTCCATTCACCAACTGTTTTTCTGCTAATAGAATATCTATTAGCTATGTTTCGCTTGCTTCAAATTTCTAAAACAAGTTTCTCTGTCAAATTATTAGAGATTGTGTGGCACTGAAGTTCTTCCTGCCTTCTGGAATGTAACTTTAATTTAATTCATCATGCTGTGCACCCTGTTTATGATGGTAGTTTTGGCTTACTCACTGTGAAAGTGTTTGACCAAATTCTGTCCAAAGAGTTTGTTGTTGAGTAATATGAGATTGTCTACTGAAACAGTGTTATCCTATTTCAAGTAGTTGATTGTTTGCGATTTCGTTAAGTTTATCATTATAATGAAAATCAGAATTATGAAAGGTTAAGGGATAACTGGGGAGTCAAATTCAACAGCAATCATGGCACTGTTGTTCAGGAGAAATTTTTAGATTATCTACGTAGATTCCAGACCACGATGAAAAATAAAAGTCACAATCTTCTTTTTTAAAGTTTGAAATTTTGCATCCAGGGAATTGTATTTATGGTTGTATAGTGTTTAGGGTTTTGGGTTTATGTGTAAAAAATTATGTAGGTATTTAGATGCCCAAGAGAGTGGTCCCTAAACTTTGAGCAAGCTAACCAGTTTGATGGGTGGTATGGGTTGTGTCTTGTGGCACCATAATGATTTACTGCTATAGAGTAATGGTGCCAAATACTTACTTAAAGAAATTTGACCGAAAGTTAGTGGGAATGAGGGGTAATTCACAGTACCTTGGACTTGGTCATTGTGGTTAAGCCGCTTGTAGATTTGCCTATGGTGTTAAGTTGTTGTAATCCACTTCCTTATTTTAAACACAAAATGCTAACTCGTCATTCATCGCCAATTATTAAACTTTGATCAATTTTTGTTGTGTATCATCATATTATTAGTGTAGAAATAGTGTTTTAGAAATCATATATTATGTCGTTTGGCAAATGCCTACAGCAGCTTTAGCTGGATGCCTAATTTCTTGTTTTGTTTCTTTAATTAGCTTATTTTTGAATAACTTCCGTCTTTCTCTTTTGTAGGCTTAATATTCAGTTCACTATTATCGTGTTTGGGGTTTTCATTCTGTGTGTATTTTTGTTTATTGTAGATTTCTTTTTCATGTCTCTTGAATTTTATTGTATTGCGTATCATAAGCATTGCTTCAAGAACTTAGAAATGAGAAATGATGATAACACTTTCTATCACACTATTTTTAACACATAATTTATTATTGGCCGAAATTTATTTAAAATACAAAGTTGTGTGGGTCTTACTCCTTATTTAATGCACCCCACTTATGACTTTGTAATTTTCAATAAATTTTGATCAATTGAAAAAAGTGTGTTGAAAGGAGTGTATTAGAGAGAATGTTGTTAGCACTTCTCTTTAGACATTATTGCTTGATAAATTTGTTTTGCTAAATTGCAGAAATTGATATAGCCATTGACATGTTCTGTAAAATAATTTCATCTGGCAACCTAACCAACCTTCATAGCAGGAGGAGTATCATCGAGTTGCACTATACAGACTGTTTAGTTGTGTGAATTCAACATGTTATTTTCAAATTCCATAAAAGAAATTAATGGCACTGGGCAACTAATATGAATTTGAAGAGTTCTGAAATATTTTTGTTGAACTAACCGATATGTCATTTCTCTTTAAAAAAAATGATTTTTTTTCTGATGATTGTGAGATATAGCTAGCTGCTACAATATGCAAACAGATAGCTGTTACATCACCCACAAAACGATATAGAATGTTGTCTTTTTTGTTTAACGGCTTGTGTTGTACAGATGTCTCTAAGATTGTAAAAATTGCTGGCACCGTGCAAGATAGCTGAAGGCATCACTGTTCTATTTTTTTTATGCCACTACATGCTAACATTTGGGTCATGAAAGAATACAATGTCTTGTGAATAAAAGCACTTGTCTATGATAACTTTTTTATTAGACTATCTGTTCAGATCAATGTCAAGAAAAAAAAATTTTAAATAAGTAATTGTATATATTTTTAATTTCCTCAGGTGAAGTATGGAGGTGTTTAGACTATCTTGAGTAAGCTAGCTAAGCGGTTCATTGCCTGCGGCATGATGATGTCCGGTTAATGTATGACGGTGATATAGTCTATTAAAATATAAGTTTATAAATACTTTTGATAGTTCTTTTATAAAATAAATAAATAAATAAATAAATTATTTTTAGTTAAAAAAATTTCTCAAAAGTGTTTCAAACTTATTCAAAAAGGCTTTTGAGAGATGGAATGTTTGTAAGTAGATGTTTTATGAATTGTATGTATGGGGGATTCTAATTGCATTCTTTTATTTGCGATCCTTTTTTTTCCCTCTCTTCACACTCCCTCATTATTTCTGTATTTTCATTTTTTGCTAAAAATATTCTTTCCGAAAGTTAATTTCCAGTATATATTTTTCTAGTGAGCAAATGTTTTGGAAATTTATTTTTGATATATGTTTAATGCATTTCGCAAGTTAGTTGTTTGGAATGTGTTAAAATGTCAACACATTTTCAAGATTAAAATTCAAGAATGTTTTAATTTTCAGAACGTGTTAAAAAATTTAACACATTTAGAAAATAAAGTTTCGGGAAGATAGAAAATTCAAAAAAGCAAACTTCAAAACTTGCAAAATCAAGCGCACTGAAAATGGGTCGTATTCAGAGAAGAGTGTGTTTATTCTGTTTGTAGTTACATTAGAGGCATAATCATTTAGAAACTATAAGAGAAAAATAGTGTGATGAGAAACCAAATTTTTTATTCTAATATCAAAGTTAAGAATTTAATAGTTATATACTATTTTAGTGTAAAAAAATTTATACCATCGACCAATAAAAAATTATTGTTAATATTTTGTTGGTGGATAACTATATAAAACTTATTTTACATGTATAATATATGCTACATAATTTGAGTTTGCTTCAATTTGAGAGATTTTCAATGTAAACCAACTACAATTCCTTCTGTACATGATAATCGTTTCTCTGTATGTAAGTAAACAATGACTTGCTTGGCATTGAAGGCTGTAACAACCACTAACATCTAATATGAACTATAATAAATCAAATAGTGTCACTTCACAATCATCACGCGTTAATTATGACAAGAATATGACTAATTAGCCAACAACCTTGTAAGTTAGATAATGGATAGAATGACAGATAGATACCCACTACGACAATATACTGATAAAAGTAATTTCACTAGTTCATTCATTCTCAAATCCTTGGTTTCAACTGAAAGGAAACATGAATTCACCCAAAAATAAAAAGCAAAGAGTTAATCACCTATATACTGTCAGTGTAAAGTTTTTTTACACTGACAATCAATTATATCTTTTAATAGTGCTATGTCAGTTGCTTATTTAATGAAATAATAATAAAATAAACAACTTTAAAAGATATCATTGATTACCGGTGTAAAAAACTTTATACTGACAGTGTATAGATGATTAACTCAAAAGTAAATCGGAGGAGGCAACAAGCAGGTTGCGGACAGCATAATAGCGAATCAAATAGGAATAGAAGGAAATTACAAACAGAAACCAACAAAACTCGGTCCCTAATCAACCAGTCAAGTTTCAAAAACAAACTAACCAAATATTATTCAACAACCATTCGTCATTTATAAATTTCATAAAACAAAATTCATTTTATCGATTAGAATACATAAAGTTTCAATCCAGTGTTGATAGTGTCTCCATACATAATTGCCTACAAAACTTCTAAGAGAGACTATCAGTTTCAAGTGAGTTAATCATGATACATATATTCTTACATCTAATTCAATAATTACCATGTTGTTCTCATCTCACATCACATGGGCATTTTACGTGTCTCCCTCCTTTTGAATGCTCATATTTGTACCCATATTTATCCACTTTATTTATTGTCAAGCTTAGTCTTTCAAACTGTGTGTTCACCATCAGCATTCAGTTGGATGCTGAGGTGCTTATCTTCATAAACAACTTAGATGACAAATGGTAAATAAATCATTATTCTTTTGCTATTTTTACGTATTCAAATCTACATGTACATCGATTGGTATAAAAATTCTGTATAAAACACAACATAAGATAAACATTTTACACAAAATACATTAATAGATAAATTATTATAAAATTTATACTTTAAAAAATTTAGTAAAAATAGATATTATTTAGGCTAAATTATACTATTGATCCTTTATTTTATTTTTAAATTTTATTTTAGTCTTTTATCATTTAAAATGTTCATTTTGATCATTTATTTCCTAATTTAATTTGAGTCAATTTGATCCCTATAAAAATAATGATTATTTTCACTTTTGAGACACAATTTTAAATCAATTTTTGATTGATTTAATACTTAACTCGTCTCGCTAGATTCAATTACATGAAAATTATTAAAAGTAAATACAATTTAAACAAAAAAAAAATATCATAAACATAGTAAGAATGACATGAAAAGCAATAAAAAAAATTCAAAAAATCTGACTTCACATTATTTTCTAGTAATTCAAGGGATAAATTTTTAACATGATTTTCACTATGCTTATAACCTTTTTTGATTCAAACATCAATTTGATTTTATAATTTTTATATAGGTGAATCTAATGCTACAAGTTTCACATCTTAAATCAATCAAAAATTAATACAAAATTGTGTCTTAAAATTGAAAATGAGCATTAGTTTGAAATGACCAAATCATCCAAATATAAAAAATAAAAGATCATAATAAATATTTTAACAAATAAAAGTCAAAATAAATCTAAAAAATAAGATAAAAGATCACAGGTATAATTTAACCTATTATTTATAATTAACATACACAATGTCCATGTCTTCAACTTTTCATCAAATTACTTATAATAGTAATTTCTGGTTATGCTCTTATTTTAATGTTAACAAAGTTAAATTGTTAACACGATATCTATGACACTCCTCAATAAACTCCTTACTAAATCCCCGTGCATTTCACCGTTACTAAACTAGTTTATCATATTTAAAGTAATAAACAATACAAATAACGATATTTTTTTAAGGATGTGGTCACTATTATGCATATTTTAAAATTTACATTGATGGCTACATTAGAATTTGGCCTAGATCTTTTTCTAAAAAAATGATATATACATTAAAAAAAATAAAAACTGAAGTTTTCTTACTGTTTTCATACCCATCGATCCGTTCCATCATAATCCTTTTTAATTTTTTGGTCAAAGGTTCCATCATAATTTGTTTGTAATGGGTTGCTCTCATGCACCTTGATAGGGCTACAGGTGGGGAACCTTTCATGAAATTCCACACATAGGCCCATGTTTTGCATTAGACAGTCCATGTCAATCATACTTAGGGTCAATTTCCAGACCCTAGCCTCTCTCCCTCTATTCCCACCTAGTAAATGCATCTTTCACTTCATATTAGCTTTATATATTCAATTTGGACATTATTTTGCATAACATTCAAGTATATATCGAGTTACCTTCTCTGTAATGCCAAACATGTTCGCGTATGAACATCACAAAGAAAAAAAAGGGAAATGTAATCATGATAAAGAAAACTATATATTAGTATAACTATCCTGAAAATACGACAATCAAGCATGCTCATGCCTAATAAAATGGACTTTGAATAAGAAACTCCAATTCACACATGTAATTGGCTCTCTTTTAATTACTGAGTAGTTAAAAGAAAAAGGTCGATCGGCATTACATTTTCAGTTTCAACCACTACTCCCCATGCAATTTTTTATTATAAAAAAAAATAGATTAAAATAAGTTGCAACCCATATAAGAACATAACCAATCATTAACATCTCATGAAGGTTTCCAATAGGATTATGATACGTCTTCTTCATTATTAATATAAGTTCACATGGAAATTTATAAAATATAAGAGAAATTAGATTGGTAGAAATGAAGAGACTAAATTGTCTGGACTCGGTTAATTTATTCAAATGTGCGGTGAATATCAATTTAATTGGGCACTCTTAGAATCCGCTAGGAAACAAAAGAACATGATGATTTAGGATCATCAGCATCATGGGCCAGATTTAGAGCCCATATCAACCTAATAATAAATCTCATGTAAGAACAAATTAATTAATTTCAATGTTTACAGCTGGAGAACAACCGAATTGATTAATAATTTAATATACAACTACAAGCAAACTATGTTTTAAATGTTATCTTAATTCCTTTTAATTTAAGAGTTAATTACCTATACATTACCAGTGTAAAGTTTTTTTTATACTGACAACCAATTATAATTTTTAATTGTGCCATGTCACTGTAAAACATTTACTTTTAACAGTAACATGACACATTTAATAAATATAATTGGTTGTCAGTATAAAATTTTTTTACACTGACAGTATATAAGTGATTAACTCATAATTTAAAACTACGCAACTTTGAATTTGCATGACATTACATATAAAAATGATACCATGACATAAAAATGATACCATGACATAGAACCTTGATTCGAACAAAGTAAAAATTTGGGTTATAAGTTCTTGCCGAAGCATAAGAAAGGGAACAAAGCATCATATTAAATGTTTTCTTTTTCCTTGATGATATTTCAGCCTGTGACTTAAACCTAACCAAAGTTTAATCAGAAGTTGCATATTTAAAGAACAAGAATTAGAAGATGAAAGAGTGACTTATTAATTTATATATATCTCTATCAGCAACATTAGTGTTCATGGTATGGATGTTTCAGGTTTACTAGTTGCTATCAACTCAAGTGTTCCACTCAATCATAACGCCCTTCAAAACCTGACAGCAATTTTAAT